TTGGCCACTGTCGGTAGACAGGATACTGGGCTAGATGGACCTTTGGTCTGACCCGGTACGGCCGTACTTATGTTCTTATGTTAAACTCCTTTTATGGCTGGATGTTAATTGTAAGCAGTTTTACAGCAATTCTAAAAGGGCTAGGAAGTTGTGTACATTAATATTAGACAGCAACCTTGATAAAAAAATGTTACTTGAGTAGAGAAAAATCTTGTGCTGCCTTTAATGATGAAGAACTGAAACCTCATTGGTCCCCTGGAATCCTGCTTCAGGGAGCGAGGGCCAAGTTGTGTAACAAAGTAAAGGCAGTTTTGCAGCAGTTTTTATTATATTCTGCCCTCAAGTGTAATTTTGCTTCTGCACAATCCATTTTCAGTCATTCGGTTCTACGTGTCCTGGCTGTGAATGATACGGACAGTGAAGTCAAGTTGGCGCACACAAGCAGTTTTCCATTCCATCGCAGTTACAGATTGTACAATGACACAGGGGGCACTTATATCTGACCCTACTGCTGATGCGCACTTAGGTCAGATTTGCAAAACCATTAGGCATGAAAATACCTGTGCAAAATGCTTGCCTAAATTTAGACTCACAATCACTGCTACAGCACATGGAAATCAGGTAATGGGGCACATAACTGGCACCTAACTAGCTGTGTTATGCTTCTTAGTAAGGCACGGAGCACTTGTATCTATCTATTTTGATTGCAACATTCTATAGCCCAGTAATGCGAGCCTGCTATACCCTGGGAAAGTCCACCACATTCTTTTCTGCCCCATGCAGTCCAGAATCCTGACTTTGATCTCTGCAGACACCCCCACCTTTCTTCCACCACAATGACAGCTTCTCCCCAGACCAGCCATTCTTGCAGCAATTGCATGTCAATTTGCCCACAGAACTTCTGAGAAAATCTGGTCCTGAAGAGTTACTCCTTTACCTCTAAAAGACCATTTTATTGTCCTTCAAAATCGTTTGCTTAACTTTCTCTCAACCTCCCCACCCCCGCCCCCGAATGTTGGAGGCACTGATAAAATGGGACCTAGCCCTTGCTTGATTGCTCCAAGTAACTTGGATCTGCAAAATTTTCACGTGTGTCTGTAATTCTTGGTTTCTAGCATACGTGCTGGCTCTAGGAGTGCTGCCACACCCCCTGGCTTGAAATGGTTTCCATCATATACAGGGCTTACAATTTGGTTCAATGGCTCTCAGCACCCCCACTCTACAAATTGTTCCAGCGTCCCTGGAAAGACCCAGAGCATGGGTGCTGCAGTGTGACCGGTTTCATTATCTGATGGTGTGGGAAAGAAAACAAAACCCCAAGGCTTTACTGCAAACAA